AGATAGCTCTTTAGTGACAAACAGTTTGTCGGCTGATATAGCTTTACTATTTCAGATGAATAATGAAAATGAATATCAAATCAATCAGTCTAGCTATTTTCAAGATAATATAAATATTCATATACATCAATTCAAAGCTTTCTGGTAAGTCATTTTCAATAAGCCTGACAGCAGAGCTAATAAAAAATCTACAGAAGTGTTGTTCAATGATAAGGTAAATGTTTTTCGGATTGAAAATAGTTTAACTTTGAATGGTGTTTCATGTTTTGTCCAGTGGAAACACACTAGACATTTTTGCTATTTTGAATCCAACTTGCACATGAAATATTAACCAAACGGCCACAGTTCACATGATTTGACCATATATGGTTACATCAGTTCTACTTTTAGTAGATCAATCAACCGCTCGACTGCAATCACTTGCTTGGTACATATTAATGTTTGGTCAAGCCTCATAGTGGTCAAGATGTACATTTAGTTTACATGTGTTGTGTACATCACCATTACCCTACAATTAATAGCTCAACTTGACTACTGAAAATTTACAAAGAATGAATACTTTGTTTTCTAATTGATAGACTGATTTGTCTATCACAAATTGAACAATAACATTTAATTGTTCAAATTCATGCTTAAATGCAAATACTAACAAAACAATACTAATACTACAATGAGACTACCATCACTCAAAATGGTGCCACAGCTAGACTTCCAAGAAATATTCATTTTGAGGTCACCTTCTTGCATTGTATGTCATTACATGTGTAGTAGAGCTCAAATGTACTGAGGGCGTAGTTATGGTGATTACAATCCAAATATAATAAATCATATTTAAGTGGATTCCTGACTAAGCCATTTTTAATTACTTTGGGTTATATTCTAGTGTATCATACAAATGCCACAAAGTTCAAGCAGCTAGTAAAACAGAATATTAAATGTCAATTTAGTGTATTAGAAACTTGACTTTGAATATTACTGTAAAATCTGTATTAGAAGCCGCGGCTTCTATTAAAATGGTACAATGCAACAGAGGGGATGCGGCATCTATTAGAGCATCTACACATATGAGAAATGAGGAATTTTTAGTTCTCAATTATTCAAATAGTATGGATGCGACTTCTATTAGGGATGCAGCTTCTAATACAGATTTTACGGTACTGTAATTTTATTTCATGACAGAAGGATTTTATAACAGCCTTAGTGAATTTTTTTGCCTGCTAACATCCCCAAATCATCAAGTCACAGACATTTCTTGCCTGCTAACATCCCAAAGTCATCAAATCACAGAAATTCATAAAGACAAAAATTTGATGATTTAGAGAATATTTCTTTCTTACCTGGCAGGTATCGAGATTGTCTTAAATAATGTTGTTTTGCTGATGAGACAGATGAACGACCAGAGTCTATCCTTGCATTACTATAGCCATGCTTAAGCAATGAGAAACCAGACTTCTTTGCAGCGGGTGATCTGCAATAGGAAACCATAAATTTCATATTGGATATTTTTAAAACTAAAATCGTTTTACAGCAAGTCTCAGAAGTATTGGGGCAGCAAATTTGCAAACGCGCTAGCGAATTGGCTAACTGCTTTGGTTTTGACTGAACGGTTAGCTTTCAAATCTCGCTGGCGCCGTCCTGTGGTCACACTCACTCTGGGTGAATCTATATAAAAGCAGGGGCCATCATACTTTAGTTTGATTGCGATTTCGCTTTCAAATATACGAAGGAAAGTGTTCTATTTTTTTCGTGTAATGAGGTGTTCGTATACAGGGAATGTCCACGCAAACACGAGTAATGAATTCGAATTTTATTAGCGGTTGGTTAAATGTAAACCCAACGAATCGTTTGGATGTGAAAATTTATTTTCTCTCTGATTTGTAGGCAACTGTTTCTCAACTTTTAGTAGCAATCAGTGTTCAAGATGGCTACCTCCATATAGTACCGGTAAATATCAGTGGATTAATCGCACTGTGACCATTCTCAGGCAGACCAAGGAAACTACTTTCACATTATCATCCCTTGCGAAGCAAATCATTCAGAGGAATCCAGACATGTACCAGGCTATATAAAAGCATTCCATGTTCCCTAATGCAATATACCGGTAGACTCGCCTAGAGTGGACGCAACCATGAGTTGGTGCCAGCGAGATTTGAAAGCCAACAGTTAGCCAATTCGCTAGCGAGTTTGCAAATTGGCTGCCCAAATTTTTCTGGGACTTGATGTAGAACCTTTTCCAAACTAAGTTTGCCTGAATATGACACTGCTCACAGAAATAGTGTATTATATCTACTGTGAGTATGAAAACTACATTTACTGACAAATTCTTGATTTTCACTTCATTTTTGCTATTTTCACTGCAGAGATAAATTAGTGATAAAATACATTCTATACAAAACACCCAAAAGGTCCTTTCAGAAGTATTTTATAGTATATATTATATATATCCGGAATCAATGAAATCTGATTGTTTTTACCGCTGTCATTTATCCGAGATACTAATAGAGCAAATATGATATCTATATAAAAAAGGCAAACATTAGAACAGAATCTCACCCAAATATATCATCATCATCGTCCCATTTTGACTGTTTCCTCTCTTTCACAGCCGGCAATGCTGGTTTTTTTGCATCCATACTAAAATCCAAATCATCCATGAAGTCATCCATACTATCCTTAATTTTCGGTTGTCCCCATCGCCGTCGCCCACTCTTCGCAAGATTCGCGTTTTCTTTTTTAACAGTTGTTGTGGATACAGTTGATGTGATTGACGGCAACGGGTTGTTTGACATATCACTAAGGTAATTGTCTTTTTTATTGTAAGTATTCTCCTGTTGCTGTGGATTAGACGGAGGGTGTGGTTCCACCGCAGGTTTAGCGTGACGAGCTAACACAGGTTTCGTGGAAAATGAAAAATCATCATCGAGGTCTATTTTTTGTTTATTTGGGTATGAATATTGAGGTACTGGAGGGGGTTGGGGCTGTGGGGGTGACACCACAGGTTGATGTGCTTTTAAGGTATAATCTGAGAGTTGAGACGATACAGGAATGGATGGTTGCTGTGTTTTCTGTACGGGTCTTGATCCTAAGTTTTGCCCTACTTGGAAGTAGGGATATCTTAGCGTCTGAAACAAAAACACAGTCAGAATTAGTGTTAGTAAAGCTAGTAGATAACACCAAATAAACGGCATGGTAAATTTGTCAAATCTAAGTTAGCCTTTTCACCACCAGACTTTCTCACCCAAAATTTTCCACACATTTTTCTTAAATTCTTCAATATGTCGGAAATGAACTCTAATTTGAGACAAAATTTGAGTCAATTTTCACTCAAAAAATTTTGCTATTTTAATCCAAATCTTCTGAAGGAAAGTGCAGACTATAAACGGGACTATTTTGTGAATTTGTGATGAAAAGAAGGAACTGGTGGTGGAAAGATTAAAGCCACATTATGGATAAGTCACAATCTGTGTTTTGAATAAGTAGGAAATATGTTCATCCACACTAAATGAGTCTAGTACGATCGTGCACCAATCTAACACTGTTAGCAGTGACGCTACGTTGACTTTCTGTCAAAGTCAAAAGTTCCAAATAAAACATTTTGTTACATCTCATGCTGGAGGATGTACACTGATTGGATAAGATGGGATGGAATAAATCACAATATACCACTCAGTCTATGAAAATCACATGGACATTGTTTAAATTATGACATAAGGACGAGGCATGCCATTTAAATATGTAAACAAATGCCATCGCGTTGACTAACAAGTTCAGATACTAATTTGAACATTGAAATGAAATATTTTGAAAAACCAAGTACATGTATGAGCAAACGCAATTACTACAGAATCCAGAAAATTTTTGGCAACCAACTGTTATTTCAAACTTATATTGCGAGCCGCTGGCTACCCACTCTTAACATGGCAACATAAATGTAACTCCCTAATTATTATTATAGTAGACTACTCTCAACCACCTACTGAACTCACTCAGTAGTCAATTGAAAGGTTTGATACCAGTCCACTAAAAATCATCACTATTTGAGGACTAAGTACCCTTCACTTTGATCATTAAAGAATAAGTTTGTTCTGAACAGTCTGTAAATGGAAAGCTGTAATGTAACAGATAAGCTCAAAACAATAGACATAGCAGTGTAGCATACCTGTTTTCACACAAGTGCTTCTCTGGAGAAAAGTATATTAAAGTACTTACCTGTGCCGCGGTTGGTCGTTTTTGTGGATTCCACAGTAACATATCATTAATGATAGTAAGTCCTTCATTGCTGGCATTTGGAATAATAGTTTTTAAATTCACAGTTACACATTGTGGAAATTTGAAATTCATAGCAGCTGCAAGTCTGTAACCTTCTTCCCAGTCCTCCTGTTGAAATATTAAAACATAAAAGTTACAAAGAATTCTGCTTTGCTTCAACATTGTGTTCTATGCAGTATTTCTAAAAATAATTGAATAATATATGGGCAATTTTCTCAAATGCAGTACTGTAACAAGTTACCATGGTGATATAGCGCCATGACTGTACATAATGAATATTGTCATGCCATTTATAACCAGCTTTTAAAAATGTTATGAGTAGACTACTACAGTAGTGATTGTTGCTGTAATGTTCACAAGTTATTATTAAAATCACCCACCTTTTTTGGTGTTCCCATGATGGTACATATTTTGAATATTTCATCTATTTCACTGCTGCCAGGAAACAATGGCCTTAATGTGTAAAGCTCAGCCATGATTGCACCTAATGCCCAGATATCAATGGGTGAACTGTAATTGGTTGAACGTAACAACACTTCTGGTGCTCGATACCTACACAGATAATGAAACACACAGCAGACAGTTAGTATGTGCTGATGATGAGGGTGGATTGCTTATGACTCCAGCCATTAAATATATAAGTGTATGTATGATTCTAGCACTATTGGAAGTATATCTCTAACATATGAAGCACTTGCAAGCTGGAAAAGTTGTCAATCTATATCAAACCAGCATGGACTAACACTTGTACAACACGCGGATAGGGGGTCTATCATGGACTAACACTTGTACAACACTCGGATAGGGGGTCTATCATGGACTAACACTTGTACAACACCCGGATAGGGGGTCTATCATGGACTAACACTTGTACAACACTAGGATAGGGGTCTATCATGGACTAACACTTGTACAACACTCGGATAGGGGGTCTATCATGGACTAACACTTGTACAACACTAGGATAGGGGGTCAATCATGGACTAACACTTGTACAACACTAGGATAAGGAGTCAATCATGGACTAACACTTGTACAACACTAGGATAGGGGGTCTATCATGGACTAACACTTGTACAACACTCGGATAGGGGGTCTATCATGGACTAACACTTGTACAACACTAGGATAGGGGGGCAATCATGGCTTAACACTTGTACAACACTAGGATAAGGAGTCAATCATGGACTAACACTTGTACAACACTAGGATAGGGGGTCAATCATGGACTAACACTTGTACAACACTAGGACAGGGGGTCAATCATGGACTAACACTTGTACAATACTAGGATAGGGGGTCTATCATGGATTAATACTTGTACAATACTAGGATAGGGGGTCTATCATGGATTAATACTTGTACAATACTATGATAGGGGGTCTATCATGGACTAACACTTGTACAACACTAGGATAAGGGGTCAATCATGGACTAACACTTGTACAATACTAGGATAGGGGGTCTATCATGGACTAACACTTGTACAACACTAGGATAGGGGTCTATCATGGATTAATACTTGTACAATACTAGGATAGGGGGTCTATCATGGATTAACACTTGTACAACACTAGGATAAGGGGTCTATCATGGACTAACACTTGTATAACACTAGGATAAGGGGTCAATGATGGTCTAACACTTGTACAGTACTAGGATAGGGGGTCTATCATGGATTAATACTTGTACAACACTAGGATAAGGGGTCAATGATGGTCTAACACTTGTACAGTACTAGGATAGGGGGTCAATCATGGACTAACACTTGTACAACACTAGGATAGGGGGTCAATCATGGACTAACACTTGTACAACACTAGGATAGGGGATCTATCATGGTCTAACACTTGTACAGTACTAGGATAGGGGTCTACCATGGATTAACACTTGTACAATACTAGGATAGGGCAGGGGGGAGTTGCATGACAAGATTGGTTGAAATAATCATCTCATTTGCATAAATTAATATTCATGACTAATGTAAAAACTCGTCTTTTCAGTACAACTGTGCCAAAATGCTTTCCGATAGCATACATGATAGTTCTAAATTGACTGATTCTATCATAACGAGCTGAAAGAATAATCAAAAAACTTATGTAAAGGTGCCTTTTGAGAGACGATTTTGATCAGACTCTCGCAAACTGTTGAAAGTAACCACAGATTTTTTCTTTACTCTGATCATAGCAAGTTATGTATTTCATGGAGGATGCAGAATCAGGTAACTACAGATATACAAGCCAATGTGAAAAGTACAGAGTTATCAAAACACTTCCTGAAAGCAACAAACAAGTAACATCGCATCCATTATGCTGATTGCTTCCTGGTTCTAGTCTGTTCCAATTACCATCAACATAGCATTGTCGTCAAATTAACGTCTAAGTGTTCCTAGCACAGCTACAGCCAAGCTTTTAAGATAATGTTCTCACTGCATCGCATATACTCACCATCTTGTTGAGACATAGTCTGTATACGGAGGCCGGGAGCGGATTTCACGAGCTAAGCCAAAATCAGCGATTTTGACTAATTCAGGTCCTGAGCAGAGTAAATTTTCAGGTTTCATATCACGGTGAAAGAACCCTGGACAGAAACAAAAGATGGTGTGTTAATAAAACAAACCAGAGAACACTAGATCTATAATGCAACTTAATTGTATCAGCATGGTATACTGCTTGTAGTACTTTTTAAAATTACAAGTACCCGGGTATATGTGATGAGTACAGGCTTCTCTTGTTGCTTGTCTACCAGTAATACAATAGTGTTGATTTCATGTGAAAGGGGTTTTGTACAGTCGGTAGTAACAAATATGCAGTTTCAGGCAGGTATTTTATCATACCAGCTATATTTTTGCTTCAAAAATGTTGATTTGTTTATTTTAGGTATTCCTTTAAGAAGTGAACAACATCTTCATGAAATATAGTATTGTATTCATATTCACATATCTTTTTATTGGTCAATCAAAGCTTGTTTGGAGTTTGGTTATTATCGAAGGATAAGCAGTATAAAGTTCTTGAGGTTAATGTACCCTTTCATCTAATCAAATTTGAAATTTGAACTATGTGGTACTGGCAATCAACAAAACCCAATGTTTTCTCACATTCAAATGAATAGTTTAAACAACAAACAAACAAACCTAGCATTTTTTAACTTAAAGGAATTTAAGGCCTATTTCAAGTGGGAAATGTTTTTTGTTGAATGTTAAATTGTTCGCAAGTGTACATATGTTCTAGGAGTAAGCATTTTCTGCATTCTTAACAAAACATCTGATTCTCTCTCTTCATGCTACTGCATGTGTACTCCACTTTTCAATATTATGGGACATTATAATTGCAATTATACACATCTCTGTCCTTGCCCTTTTATCAGACAATAATGGGCTTGGCTAATAGTTGTACGTCCCCATCCTTGCTTTGTTATGCAATAATAGGCAGTGTATCACTCTTTATTCCTGTATTCTCATTCAATTTTGCCGCAATGGCATCACCTTTTAGTAATGTATTCTTATTCAATTTTGCCACAATGGATTATAAATTCACATTATTTGTGTTAAGTGTTGACCCTTAGCCTCATAAACGCTTAAAAACAATGTGAAATCCTTGTATGAATCTTACACATGGAGAAGATTCAATTTTGCCACAATGGATTGCTGACACAGACTATACATTATTTGTGTTAAGTGTTGACCCTCTCAAAAACGTTTTGAAACAATGTGAAAAGCAAAGCTTTAACTAAACGAAGGTCTCACATTAATCATGTGCAGGTATGAATGATTGACAGCTTGATTATCAATATCAGTCAAAAAGACACACTTTAATTTGTTAAAAAACTAAATATATTTTATTATGGGTAATTTCCCTCTGCTTTGTTGGCATGGTAACGGTTTGTGATTATTTCCTCAAATGCCTGACAACACAAGTGATGACCCCTTTGCTTTAAACATTTAACTTTTACATATTATCTATATTGGTTTATTCATTTCTGTTTTATTTTTCAAATTCATAAACTCATAAATATATTTGCAATTCACTCATTATTGATAAATTCATGTTTTTTTTATATAGATAGCATAAATATTTGTATATCGTATAGCTCTAAAATTTTGCAAGGCAAACACAACTAAATGTTTGAAAATCAGAGAAAAATATCAAGTCCCTCAAGTAATTTTAGAGCTAGCTCATAAGTTAGCATTCTCACATTCACTAAATTGAGATATTCTTTGATTTTCAAGGTGGATCTCAACTATATTACTCTGATGCATGTATGTGGTGT